CGCCCCAACGTCGACACGAGGCACTTCACCGCTTGTCGGGGGTCAGCTCGCCCGCCGGCTGCATCCAGCAGCAGTTGGCATCCCGCTTCAAAGCCCTTTCAAGCATGACGGTGAAGATGTCAAAGACGTGTGAGTGTGGATGAGTACGCCGTCCGGAGATACCTTGGGACGCCTCGCGTGCCACAACCCGAACAATCGCGTCGCGAGGTTGTTGCGGCGAACGTTGAGGTCTAGCAATGAAAACCATTGAAGGGTCGACTGTCACTTGGTGGTTCGTGTGGGTCGTACCCACAAACGGGAACGCAGCGACCATGTCGAAGCGAGCGTGTGCGCCTCCATGCGAAGATGAAGACGCGACGCCATCGACACTGTGAGCCAAATTTAGACTCGCCCAAGGCTCGAGTCTCGACGTTCTCGATGGAACCTGTGTGGGCTTGCTGAAAGCTCGAGTCCCGTTGGAACCCGCGTGACAGAGCGTTCTAGTTCACACAAGCTTCAAGTACGTGTGCAATCCTTGATCACTTCAATTTCCCCGGATCACCTTGCATGTCCAAACGCAGCATGGACGGCACAAGCATGCATCTGTCATATTATCGAAGAGGACGTCCTGGTTTGGCTCAATCGCGTCATAGCGATCGATTGTTGCGTGGTGCGTCATCTTGTCTTAGTCCTTCACCTCAACGACGGCCGAAGTGGATTGATCTTCTGTACAAAGAGGCGGCGGACAAGGTAAAGTGTAAAAATAGCGGGGCTCGAGTTACACGGCGCACCCAGTCTGCCACCGCCACTCGTAGTGCTGCATGGCGCTGTTGTAATGGATCAAGGCGGCCGCAACGACGCAAATGTGCCACAGTTGATGGCTATGGCCCCACACGTCGAAATGGCCGGGAAAATACCGCTCGGGAAACCGGGTGCCGTAAATGGCGGCGCCGACGAGGTAAAGACATCCCATGGCCAGGAGCGGCTTGACAAAAATTTGAATGTGATCGTCCCACACGCCATGCTTCCACACCAAATGGCCGATTGGGACAAGGGCGAAAAACCCGAGCGACAGAAACATCCCGCTGCGAACCTTTTGGTTCTTGGTGCACAGCGACGCGACGAGGCAACCGATGGCGAGGCTGGATATGATCCCCAGGTACATGTACAGCAGCGTCGGGGTGCAGTAAAACGAGTAGTAGATGAGCGGAAAGAAGGACCCCGCGATCATGAGGATGATTCCCGAGTAGTCGAGTTGAATGAACACGACCGACGCCGCAGCACTCTGTACCCACATCAGGTGGTAGATGGAGCTGAGCGTGAGACAAATCACCGCGCTCCCGATGAAGACCTTGATGGGCCAGTTGCCGACCACGAGCATCGGTGCGAGCTTGGACGGCGTCACGTCCGATATGGCATGGAGGCCGTTCTTGACGCTGTCGGTAACACTGTGAAATTCCTGCAGGACAAACTGTAGCGCCGGGTAGTCGTTCGTATCCAGTTGTCGAAGGTATGTCGAGAGCGCGTCCAGGCGAGACTGCAACGACTGCTTCATGCCGTGCACCTGAGTGTACGAACCGACGACGCTCTTCAGCGGCATGCTCTTGGTGAGTGCGTCAAAGGACGGTCCGAGGCGGTCCTTCAGCACAGTCAATTCGTCGTGCAGGTGGAAGAGCTGCTCGGACACGGTGTGCGAGATTCCTTCGGCATGGCTGTCAAGGATCTCATGGAAGCGCTGCAAGCTCGGGATCTGAGCAATGGTGTGCCCAAAGATGACGCTCGCGACGTGCAGTTGCTTCGATAGCATTTCTTGGTATCGTGTGTCGAGCACATACTCCAACGCGTGATGGACCTTTGTCGGGGACAGCACGATTCGCGCAAATAGGTGCATCGTGTGGCGGCCGTTCTCCATGTACAAGATGTTGTTCGGTTCAAAGAAGGGATGCGTGCCATCGTCGTACGTCCATAAATGCGTCGGTATCTCCATGTTGAACGCGCTATACATGAGTCCGGCAAAGATGAGCGACCCGATGATGTGCGTCCACACGTTCCAAGTCTCGTTGTGGAGTTCGAACAGGGACAAGAAGCAGTGGGTCAAGGAGTAGTCAACGCGATACCCCGATCGAATGTACATGTTGTCCGCCAGGTACGCCTTGCCTTCCGCATGAACGTCATGGAACCCCGCAAGACGTTTCCTCGCGGCGGCCTCCGTCTTGGACGGCGCGCTATTCGTCACTGACGTTGGTGGCCGCGTCTCGACTGTACGCATCCTTTTCCCCAACTGGACAGCGCGAAACCTGACGGTGTCGCCTCGTATCCGGATCGTCCGGTTTTCGTTGCAGATGAACCAATCAGAACGTGGAATGACAAAAGCGGAACCAATCAAATCGCTGAATTATCTGAAAGCCCACCGAGATGCCATCAGGGCATGTAGTCGATTTTGTGAACATGTATGAGGAGAGCTCGACCATAAGCACCCCCCATCCGAAACGCGTCTTTTACCCCCCATCGCCTCCCTCCTGTGTTTCCTTCCCTTGCAAGTTATTATTATGGAATTGATATTTGTAAAACGAAAACTAGTATGGTTTTATCTTCAGGAATATAAATACTCAATGTGGGAAAATTGCACATATGCAATGTATTGTACTGTATACAAACAACAAATCTAACTGTGTATTTTGTATTATGTTGAGTTACATGTGAAACTTTTTATTGTAGATATTGGGGGTGACCTTGGTAGTAAGTAGTCGATCCACCACATACTACTACCAGTATATTGGGCATTGTATTTATAGCAAGCAACATGTTGTAACATCAATATATTCATGCA